CGAGTGGAGGTGAGGGGACCCAGGACAAGGGTGGCGGGCGGAGCTTTTGGGCCTGGCACAGCGGAGCAACCGGAAGGTACGGTAGGGAGCGTGCTCCGGGTGCGCGAGGCTGGGCTTCGCAGCCGGGCCGAGTAGGTGCAGTGGGCCTCAGTCCCTTAAGCCAGGAACGAAGTGCCCCAGTCTGGGCCGCCTGAGACCCGTCAGGGTGCTCGGCGGAAGAACGGGAAGACCCAGGTCCTGCTTCCGGACGCCCCAGGCACCTCCCCGATGGCTGAGGCAGATTGCAATGTTGGGCCTTGCGGGAGTGGCGAGTTGAGTCACACAAACAACGACTCAGCACGCAGCAAATCCCGGAGTCCACACGCAGTGACTTGGAAAAATCGGTAGTATTTTCCCAGGCTGGCGGTGGACCCGGCAGGAGTGGGACGTTCCTCTCTGGTTTAGCGGTTTCTAGTTTGCAAAAATGATTATCAAATTTGCGTGATCCTTGACTGCTGGAGCCTGGATTGAGTCTCATTTCTGATTTGTAGAGAAGCAGAGTGGTTTGAATTTAGATATAGTTATATATTAGCGGTGTGACCTTGGGCCAGAAAGAGCTGTAAACCCTCACCTGTATTCTGGAGATAGCAGTAGGGCTTGTTTCATGTGGTTGTGGGAGGCTAATGCATTTAAAGGCTTGACACAGGTAAATGCTATGTGTTAACAGTTCTTACTGTAATTGTGACCACCGACCTTCCCTCCTTGCTTCTAGTGGAATGTAGCAGAGCCGTGAATGAATTCTGTGCTTCTGGTCTCCCATTCCATTGCATAGCATTTATCTCCAATTCAGTTGTTTTTCCTGTTGTCTATGAGTCGGAACCGAAACAACAGCACTTAGCAACAACAACAACAAATGTGATACTGTAGCATAAGCACTTGCCCTCAAGGTTGGTTTGAACCACAAGGTCGCCAGTTCAAACACCCCGGCAGCCCCTATGAGTCAGAACTAACTACAGCACTTAACAACAGCAATGCTGGATGTTGAGAACAGTTCACAGATGCAAAAGATTTGGTCCTTGGTTTTAAAGAACAGAGGAAATAAACTACTGTAATGTAAGGTGGGTGTGAAAATATCGTAAGAAAGTTACAGTAAGAAATTTTGGTTGGATTTTAAGAAAGACTTGGTGTCCAGTTGGAAAATGCTTCATAGACAGGGGCTCTGGAGGTGGGCCTTGAAGGATGGATCCAATCAGAAGGAAATGGAAGTCATTGTCCTGAAGGATGGGACTGGGACCTAGTGAGGTAGGTCGTAGGTCTTGAGGAACTGAAGGGAAACATTGCTTGGCACAGACGTTCTTAACCCTGGCTGCATTCTGGAATCATTTTGAGACCTTGGACAGCCCTTGATGCCTAAGGCCAACAGCAGAGATTCTGTATAATTGGTCTGGGGTGTGGCCTAAGTTTGAGGAGTTTTTGTTCTGTTTTTTAAAATACTCTTGTATTTTTGGTGAAAGTATACCCAGCAAAACAGGTTCCTGCAACAATTTCTACACATAATGTTGAGTGACATTGTTGACATTCCTGACATTGTATCATCATTCTTATTATTTCCGTTCTAGTTGCTCCATTCCCATCAACTTCCTCTCCCAGCTCCCTAACCTTCTCATCTATACTTTAGAATCTCATGTGTTAAGTCCCATCGAGTAGATTCAACTCTTAGTGACCCATGTGTAGGGTTTCCAAGGAGCAGCTGGTGACTTGCATATAGATAATTTTTAAATATCATAAAATAAGGTTGACATTCTTTACTGTTTGAGCTAATGGGCTGTTTAATTAAAAGGTGACTCCAGGGAGCAGTTTCCGTTTAGGTTTAAAGGGTATCGCAGGATAATAGTCTCAGGGATCCCTCTAGTCTCAGTGGGTCCAATAAGTGTGGGTTCTTTTGAACATTTGAAATTCTGTTCCCTATTTTCTCCCTTTCTGTCAGGATCCTTCTGTTGTCACCCTGATCTGTGTGTAGGTGAGAGTGGTAGCCACACAGTTCCCTTAGTCTCATGACCAACTCTGATTCCTGGAGATTATATTTCCTGTTCTGGGCTTCCTTCTCTTGACTCCTGGGTTCCCTTGCACTTTTGCTCAAGAATAATAGAGAACAATCATTATATCTTAGTTGGTCATGTGTAAGCATCTAAGACCCCAGATACTACTCACCGAACTAGGATATAGAACAAAAATTTTATGAACTATATATATTGTGCTAAATGACTGGATTGTCAATATTGGGATTTTTAAAAGAAGCGCCTCAGGAGATTGCAAATACAGATGCAATTGGATAATATGAGAAACAAATGGAGAACACTGACATAAACAAAAAGCTTTATAAATTCATCTCATACTTCCATTTATAAATGTTTTAATAAGAAGAAACAAAAAGCTTAATCGCATTGTTGTCATGTACTGTAATTGTCAAAGGTTAAATAAAATAACATGAGAGGCCTAATACAGAGCCCACACAGGATGGAGTGATACATTGGCCACAGCCATAGACTCAAGCATAGCAATTGTGAGGATGGTCCAAGACTTGGGCAGTGTTTCCTTCGGTTGTGCATAGGGTCACTATGAGTTGGAAATGACTTGATGTGCTTAACAACAACAATATGGTACAAGCAATATGGTGCATAGTAGGTGTTCAGTAAATATAAGTTGATTGTGAATTCATTCTTAGCTTATTTGGGAGATACATCTGAGAATCTAGTTTCAAAATTATAATCTTTGCATATAATTTCAGGGTGTTCATCTGGAGTCCTGGTGTGGCGCTGTGGGTTAATGCACTGGGCTACAGAGTCAGTTTGAACTGTAAGTTCTACAGTTCAAGCTCACCAGCCACTCACTATATAGGGTCACTATGAGTTGGAGCCGACTCAACAACAGCATAGAACTCTCTAGAACCTGTCTGTGGACCACCTCACCTTCCCTTCCTAGCCATAATCTGTAGTTAAGCCTGATTCTAAACATTTGGAATAAAATTTAAAAGTGTGTGTGTGTTTTGTTTTTCTTTTGCTATCATGCATAGATTCACCTAACCTTGAATGTCACTGGCAGGAGCTCTGGTAGCGTAGTGGTTACGAATCGGGCTGCAAACCTTAAGGTCAGCGGTTCGAAACTACCAGCTGCTCCGCGGGAGAAAGATGAGGCTTTCTACTCCCGTAAAGATTTACACCCTCGGAAACCCTATACAGGGTCGCTATGGGTCGGAACCGACTCGATGGCACTTAACAACAACAACAACAACCACCACCACCAGGGAGTTGTTTCTAATTCATGTGGACCCCATATGTGCCAGTGTGTCAGGACTGTACTCCAATAGCTCATTTTTCTGGAACTAGATCACCAGGCCTTTCTTCAGAGGTACTTCAGGGTGTACTCCACATTTACCATTTTGATTGTAATTCAGTAGTCATTTGTGAAACTCACTTGGCACTCCCTTTCTATCTCTGCCTAGAATATAGTCAGCACTAAATAAATAATTGCTGCTGTCATTAAACCAAAAAATCAGGTGTCCTTAAATTGTTTCCAATTCCTGGTGATCCCATATGTGTCAGAGTAGAATGGTGCTTCATAGGGTTTCAGTGACTGATTTGGGAGAAAGTAGACTGCCAGGCCTTTCTTCTGAGGTACCATGGGTGAACTTGTACTGTGAACCTTTCAGTTAGTAGTCAAGTTTGATAACCATTTGTATCAGGAATGCAAATGCATGAGCAAAAGAGAGTAAAAACTAGAGGGGGATGGGAAGTAAAGGAATCGAAGATGCAGAAGGAAAAATGAGAGGAAAGAGCAACCAAGAAGATGTTTGTCATGGGGCATGGTGTCCTGTCTTCTCATGACTTTGATGTTTCTCCTCAACTCCTCCCATGGCTGAGGGCAGTGATAAGAAGGCCTCAGTCATTGATGGGGTGGGGTGCACAAATACCCATTTAACCTTACGGCAATGCTCAGTTTTGGGGGAGTAATATACAGCCATGGATTAGAATTGAGTATGTGTTAGGATATATTTCAGCTGAATGGTGATATTTGGAATTCAGAACTTCAATTTGGAGAGAGTCCTAATACCTCTGTTGTGTTTCTTTTTTGCAGATGGCAAGATCTCCATAGTACATCTTAGTATGAATCCCACTTCTTGGCCTCTAATCCAGCTTTAGCAGTCTCATCTCCACTGGCTGCAAAAGAAATAAGATTGCACGAATTCCAGAGTCTCTGAATTGAAATATAGACTGCTGTGTTAATATCCTTTTGTTCTTGTTATTAACAGGTGCTAACTGACCTCAAGTAGAATGTGCCATTGTGGCTTAGATAGGGGTGCAGCTCATCGGCTTGAGAGTTTTTTTTAAATGGGATAACTTGAAATGAATTTGTTTAAATTTTGTAGTGATACCTCTGATCATGTAAAAAGCCGTGTCCTAGTCCAGTTTTTGTAAAATTCAAGTTCTAAATTTTACTTGAGGGGAGTATACTTGCAAATGCAATTATAGCACAATATTTTAATTGACAATGTTGTTGTTGTTAAGTGCCTTCGAGTCGGTTCCGACCCATAGCGACCCTGTACAGGGTTTCCGAGGGTGTAAATCCTTACGGAAGTAGAAAGCCTCATCTTTCTCCCGCGGAGCGGCTGGTAGTTTCGAACTGCTGACCTTAAGGTT